TGAGATCCAGTTACGATAGGAGAGGTGCTTCTTCAAGCCACGATACATCATGGAAAACATATTAACCACACCCTTAGGGAGGCCCAGAGCTAACATGAGAGCAGCAGTGATCGGCGGGACAATACGATCAAAGCATTTGGACTGGTCTAACTTTATGCCAATGAGATGCTGGTTGTCGACTTTGGCCGAGTCGATGTCCAAGCGAAGCCCATCGCTCACTGCAGCCATTGAACGCCCTTTGATCCCACCGAACAGCGATGGATGGAGCGTGGTTTGCTGCCACTGCTGGAGCTGGCGAAACCGAGTCCCTGAGTATGCAAGCAAGAGTGGCGAAAGGACCGTTATGAGTCTTTTATTTAAGGGTGAGGCTGGTCCAGGCTTATTGAGTAGGGCTTGTTTGGCACGAAGCAAAACATCGGGGATTGAGCCACCACAATCATCTTCCAGTTGGTTGAAAAACACCGCAATTCGTTCAAGGCACTTCTTGGGTAGCAACTGGAGTTCAGTTGTACGCCACCCGTCCATGCCCGGTGATGCGAGTGGATTGCGAGATCCAATCGTCATGGCGAGATCAGCGGCTGTAAGCTCAGGCAAAACTACAGGAGTGGCAGTGTGTTGAAGATAAGGCCACACAAAGTTTAAAGCCCTGAGGGGATCTTCATGCAGTACATTTGAGGCGAAGATGGAATCCCACTGGAGATTAACATGGTGCAATGCCTCCGACGGTTGATAGAGGATATTACCGGAGGAATCTGTGACTAAATTGACAGGTTCATCAATAGACTTAGTTTTGAGATGGTGGTAAATGTACTTCTTTGTTGAATTAGCAGAATGCTTGATCTGAGAACGCCAGGCATTGATTCTCTGCTGTTTCTTACTAAAATCCCAATTCTGCAATTGCACCTGAACCCACTGCCGACAACGGGCGACCTCGAGGAGGGAAGGTTCAGTCGGGATGAGCCAAACATGAGGGCACTTAAGGCTTTGGAGTGACCTACAAGCTTTCTTGGATGTACGTTGCAAAATGTGCAAATCCGCAAGACTTGAGGCTGGTCTCTGCAGGCGGACGAAAAGCTCATCAAGACGAGAAAGAGCATTCTGTAACCACGAAGCTTTGAGCGAAAGCGCAGAGCCGGATTTCGCTTGACCTGGACAAAACTGTTTGTATTGAAAAAGGGGGAGTGCCCCTCGTTTTCGTGGACCATGGCCCCAGTATGCACCAGAAGACAAAAGAGTCTGGCAACAAAAGTCATTTAAAGTGTTCCACTTCTGGTCGGTGTGAGGATGTTGGGCATAAAGCCTAGCAAAACGGGACTCCCACAAAAAATCAGCAACCTCATTAGAGGGATGAGTCGGATCAAGACCGGGCTTATCAAGAGAGTCGGTAACAAGCGGAGCAAACTTCTGATGGACATACCCATGCTGCCAGATAGTAGGCCAAGAAAAAGTTGCACGAACAGGGCGGTGTTGCGAATCGGATGTTTGAACAACCTCAATCGACTGCAATGCACAGGAAGCAACTTGGTTGACAAGAATACCGTCAATTGAAGAGCAAAAGTCACCGTGACCTGAAAAAGTACTATCTTTAGAGTAGGTCAATGGCCGCAAGGACTCACCTGAGTCATCTAAAGTAGTCAGGGGATCAAACCAATTGTGGAGGTTCACTGCATTCGAGATGCTGGGATAATGCAAAGGAGGGGATTGGAAGTCCCCAGCTAAAATAACTGGGATGGATCCAAACTGAGCACATATAGTTAAGATGTCAGCGAAAATTGCATCATTATACCCAAAAATCTGGGGGTTGGATGATGCGGAGGTTTTAGCGTAGCAGGAAACCACAAATGTGGGCCAGTGTCCTTTCTCTCTTCAACGTTAGATGCCCTAGGTCACTGTACATTTCCAAGGGGAGCAACATGGTAAAGGCCCTGTCGACCGCATCTTCGGTTGGGGCTGTGCATGGATAGAAGATGTCCTTCAAAAACAGCCCATACATGGCATCAAGGATCTGGTGCGTTGCTACCGTGCAGGGGCGCAGTATATGGTAAACACAGACCGTCAAGGTCCTAAATTTCACATTGAAGAATTCAATCCTGGACAATACCGCGCAGATAGTCGCACCGTGTTCTATTGCCCTGGCTTCCTCATCACACGGACCTATTGCCTGCAATCTGCACCTTCGCCTTCTTCTCCCAAAGGCCTACTGGTCCAGAACAAAGTCTTCAGCGACAGTGTGTGAACGCAACTCCGTGGTTGGGATGTACTGCCCTAAGGGCAGGATGCCAATGAAGACGAAGATGGTTTGGAAAGTGGTACTTCGAAAGAGTGGCGAGAGGCTTCTGGAATGCTGAGAAATCTTGGGAAGGAACTGGCCCAAAGACAGGAGAGGTTAACCTTTTTATTCGCCGACATCAATCCCAAAAAGATGTTCCTCCACCAGTGGCAAGGTTGCTTGGGTCTGAGCTGGAAAGAACGCTGTCTGCTGCTGCTGCTCTCCGTCTGCAATCAGCTGCTGCTGAGAAAAGACGACAAGGCCAACGACTTGGAACTCAAGTGTCTTCTTTGTCCTCTTCAAGTACATCTGAATCATCTGCGTAGCTGCGTATTAGAGGCGGTGTGCCTGCTTTGTGGCTGCGTATGAGCAACAACGAAAAACTTCCAAAACCGTAGCCGCGTAGGCAAAAAAGCACGCAGTGATAAACAACAACTCCACGCGCGTAGGCCGCGTAGGCAACCTATCCCAACTTTGACCTGCGCGTAGGCCAACACTGTGATGGCGTAGGCAGAAAGTAGGTCTGGCGTAGGCGCCAGTAAAATGATAACACCTTACATTAGAAAAAGCACAACTCAAGTGACCATTTTCCACTTCCATGTTAGTGAGTCAGAGTGTGAGTACATCACCCCGTATCCCGTTCAGGTGACCTCCAACCTTGCCCCATAGATCAGCTGAGGTTTAAAATAACCTCTGAGGTTATTTTGTTTCCTGAGGTTAATTCTAACCTCACTGAGGTAACCTCACTGAGGTTATTATGAAGAATAGTTTCTGCTGTTGTTCTAGAAAATAGCATCAGAATGGTTTACCACATGGGCTGTCAAGACACTTGTTTTTTCACATTGACACCTTGAGGTGGATTTGTGAAAGTATTTGTAGAACATATGTGGCACATGAGTTTGCGCTAAATGTATTTGTAACTGTTTTTGAATACTTTGGTCAGAACATGAAAGCTGTGGCCCAGATGTATCTTTGTCGCCACATGTTGGCACACGTTCTTTGGGAGATGTTGTGGCACACATGAATCAGAACTACTTGGGGAAGTGAAAACATGCATTATTCTTTGCATGGGGAAGTGAGGCATGTGTTATTCTTTGGAAATTTCAATCCCACATATTTGTTTCTCTTCTCTGTGGCATGAGGGGCTGCTATAATTCAGGAAAAGGAAAATGAAGAGGAAACGGAAAAGGAAAAAATAAAAAACAAGGAAAAGCAACTGAACCAAAAAATGGCCAAACACAAGCACACACACAGACACACTTGATAAAATGTGTACGTATGTGCCCAACCTAAGTAACCAAGTGCCTAAGACCCAAGACAACAGGTCAGGTTGCAGGTTAGAGTATTAGGTTACAGGCCATCGCACTCAGGTTGGAGGCCGCCAAACCAAAGTGAGAGGCCCCACCGAAGGTGCCGAGGGCGTTGTGGAGGCTCTGGGCAATGGCAAGAATCGCAAGAAATCTGCAAGATTAAATCTTTAGCTTGAGCTTGGAAGGGGTGCCCTCATCGGAGTTACGAAATGCCATGTTTTATAGTGATTTTACGATGGAGAAAAACTGATATGGTTTTGGACTACATGTTGGCGATGCTGGTTATGCCGGCCGGGGGAGCTGGCGTTGTCGACACCGCCGTCGTATGCGCAACACGGGGGACACTGCACTATTGACATCGTGGGTGTGTTCGTCCGTGTGTCCTGCCCGAGCGAGACACAGACTGACAGACCGAGATGGGCCGACCGAGACAGACACACAAAGACAGACGGACCGAGACAGATAGACCGAGACAGACCGAGCGAGACAGACTGACCGAAACAGACAGACCGAGACAGACAGACCGAGTCAGACACAAAGACAGACAGACCGACGAGACCGAGACAGACGCACGGAGATAAAACCCTCGGTGAAAAGGCTGGTGATTCGATAGGGCCATAGCAAAGCGTTTCTTCGCACTTGAGCCCGGTTAACATTTCCTCCCGGCTCCGAGAGCACAAGTTGCTACTTCCCGGCTCCGCGGGCGCAGGTTGCTGCCGAGCCGGTATAGGGTGCTAATGACACACTTTTCCCATGTGTGTCTGGATGTATGTATGCATATGTATGTATGTCTGTATGCATGGATGGATGTCTCTGTTTGTTTGTGTGTGTGTCTGTTTTCCCTTTATTCTGTGCGGGCGGCTTCGACTGCGAAGCGGTGTGAATATTTTACTGCAATTCAACGTGCCGCACAGTTTTGCTGCAATCCAACTAAGAGTTGGCAACACCACCCAGATACATTTGGCCTGATCTTGTCATCCTCATTATCAATGCCATCATCATATATCATAATTTTGCAATCCCCAATAGAAAGGGCATCGGCAGCAGCCTGCGACGTGTATAGATATGTGTTTTTATGTTTATCATTGTTTATTTTTTTCGCATTTCAATTTCATTTGCCAGCAGTACCGCTCAAGGCGGTGGCGGAAGTTTCCGAGATAGGAAACCTAAAGGAGGATGGTTTGTTGGGCTTCAGCGACGGCAGCGCGATCCAATGACAAACCAAAAGGCAATTGGAACCTGACTGGCGGATTGATTAAAGTTGCTGAGTAATTGACTATCTGACTGACGGACTAATTGACTAACTAGCAGACCGACTGACTGACTGACTGACTTGGCTGACCTGACTGACTATCTGACCCACCATACGCACGGTCCCAAACCCAGCCTCACACCGATCACGGCGGTTGATGGAGCACCAGGTGAGGACGTTGGACACCACGGCGCCCAGCTTCGGCACGTTCACCTGCGCAGAGACGCCGGCCACCGAGGCGGCCGAGTGTTCGTCTACTCGCGGGGCGGGTACGGGAGGGTCTTTGGTTCGCCACGGGAGGGGAGGGGAGCTGGATGAACATATGTTTTAATTAACAAATTGTACATTGTATATAAACAACCTGTGTTTTTTTGGGTGGATCTAAAAATGATAAGAAGTAAAACTAGTGTTTTTCGGTGCAAACCATGAATCTATGGGGGTTCATGAGTGACCAAGTGCAAGTGTTCCCCATATTTGGTACTAGTAAAATTTTATCACTGGGAAAATTCAATCGGTTCAAAGGCAGGGTTGGGGTGGGAATAACCCTGAGAGTTCCACTAAGGTACATTCAAAGAAACCCTTTAAGCATGGTTGGAGTCTTTTGTGTACATCCATCTTGGACACCTGAGAGTTCCTAAGTGGTCGACAGTCGACCCTCATAGCTTGGTAGATGCACTGTTGGTACATCAGATTTGCGCGCCCAGAGGGGTCACCCATGGTTTCGTTCTTCGTTAAACGTCACACGTGACCCGACGTTTTGCCGGCGTTTGACTGTGGTTCGACTCGTTCCCCCCGTACCTGTGTTTCGGTGCACCGCACTCACCGCACGCGGTGTTTTCAGTGCACCCCAAGTATATGTTTGAGGCATGTCATCCAAGGAACATGGGGGCCACGTTCGCGACCTCTCATTTCGACCAAAGACGCCATCAACAGTTGACACGTCAAGAGGCGATGGCCATGTCCAGCCAGGATAGCATCACGGTGACCTTGAGTTTGAATGAAGCTGGTCGGGCCTACTGCAAGGCGGCCGGCAACACCGCCCCAGTTTGTGGGTTCATGGGGGGTTCGTCGGTCTATCTCCGGAAGTGCGAGCTGGTCAGATCGGGACACTTAAAGACATACACACAAATGACAGCCTTACTCTTACTAAATATATGGCTGATGTTGGGGCAGATGAAGGGGAACTCAAGTCACCGGTCGCCCACCCGATTCCCCAAAGCGCAAGAACAAGTGCCATGCTGGACCAACAAAAAACAACCATATTTACGAAAACATGAGATATGCTATGAACGGGTGTCAGTCCCTCAGATAGACTTGGACCACAAATGCACTGAGATAAACATATTTGCAGGTTTCTGCCGAGGATTGGGCTTCAAAAAGCAGCCTGGTCAAGCTGAAGTGTTGGTGAGGTGTTCAATACAATAATATATATATACTGCAAATGTCCAGTCCACAAGTTTCTCGCATGTTCCCGCAAATGTCCGCCATAGACGTGTTTGTCAGATTTTACAAGTTGCAGCGCATCCCTTCATCAAACGTTAGAATGCCAAGAGTTGAACTGGAGACAGTGCCTCCTGTAGGGTTTCATCCATTCTGCACCCGTCCTTCGTGTTGCACTGGGTCAAGATCCCCAAAGAGCACAACAAAAGTGACATATGTCACTTTTATGGCATGACAGCTCCAACAAAAACATGTCTTTGGACCTATATCGCATTTCCTTTTTGGCATTCAACTTGGTTGCTCCAGGTATGCCATTTGTGCCTCCCATCAACCAAGTGTCGAACCTTTTCTGTCCCGAAGAACGCTTCGTTCCCGCCATGTTCAGTGAAACCTCTGGTCCGGTACGACTGGCCCCGACCCTATAAAGGCCTGCATTGAAATGGTCTTCAATCACCGTACCTCAGGTTGGGAATGTGGATCCGGGGATATTGGAGCCAAACACTATTCATCTAGTCGTGTGGTTTTGGTGTATTCGAAGGCATCCAGGGTCGACGCACGTTCTTCGGTGTCGATCGGTCCGAAGCGGCATCACTGATTCACGCCGGTTGCACTAAAGGTGAGGGAGGTAAGGAGGATGGAATAGGAGTATTTGATGTTCGATACGGTTTGGATTTTTATATATAACAGTTGTTCTCGAGTTTCTGTGTACTTTCAGATTCTCCCCATCTCCAGAGATCATGGAATTCCTGATGTTGCAGTGACTTCCAAAAGAGGTTAAGTGACCGTAAATAGGACCCGTCACCTGGGGTACCCAACTGGGATAGTCAACCAGTTGTTCGACCCGTTTCCTTCCCACCATCGTCTTCCCCGGACCCGTGACGCCGGGACGGACTGCCTCGACGGACGCCGGTCCAAAGGTGGTGAACACCGGCTTCGATCCGCCCACGCCCAACGCCGTCATCGCCGAAGGCGGTCCGACGGAGCGACGGAGGGTTCCGCGTGGAGCGGGTGCGAACCGGGTTCGAACGGTGCGTCGTTCGCGGGGGTTCGGAAGGTGATCAGGTGCGTGGAACACGCGGAGCAGCTGGCAATTTTTCAAGGGTATAGGAGCGTTTGGATGGGGACCTTAGCCAAGGGGAGAAGGAGAACATAAGCATTTTGTGGACAAACATGGACGGCACACCATAAACATCAGGTGGACCAAGGGGTGGTGAAGATGCCGGAGAGAAATTGGAGGAGCGTCGGTCCCAGAAAAAGGAGCAGCCTCACACTTCGGAGTCGTTGGACAAGCCATTTGGCGCATTTCCAAGAAGGGCTCCTGGTTCAAGCGTAGAAGAACATGACCGAGCGTCTCTTCTGCGCCGCGACCTGGTCAACGTCTCGTTCATCTATAACCCTATAGGGCTTCAAGTGCCTCCTGAGAAGGTATTTGGACCCTCTAAACCCACCCCGAACACCTTCTCAGAGGCTACTTGGATCCCTCGGGTAGTTTTTGAGATCCTTGAATGTGTCCAATCCCCATGAAGAAATTCGTTGCTTGTTCTTAACGCGCAAAGTTCCCGAAGCAGAGTCTTCAGCAGTTTTTGTCGAACATTTCATTGTATTTTTTCAAGACTTCGGATGGGCGGGGGGGCAGCCAACTACCCAGTCATGAATGGCTCACCCGAAAAACATCGAAAAACCTTCTTGGCAAAGTTGGCGACACCCCACTCAAAACCAAGTTGGTGGAAAGTGTGGTTCCTGTAACCTGAATTTATACCTGTGCTATACCATATGGGTCGTCCCGGGCGATCGAAGCGCGTGCACGTAGCCTCGCGTGGTGCCGTCTTGCGCAGCGAAGGAACGCGGAACGCGCGAGAGGTGAAGCAGTTTTTCGCTTTGTGAGGGTTCGGTGCTGGCAATGCCCCCCTCCGTTGCCGAAAGCAGAAGCAGGATAGCCTTGTGCCCAGAAGCGAAGAGGTCCGACCATGGGTTGAAAAACAAGAACAGGCCTGGACGACACATGACGACAGGTCCCCAGGTGCGGGCATGTTGGACTTGCACATGTTCAAAAGGACACACACACACACTTTTGTTATGTTGTCCAATTCTGAAGCTGCAACCATTGGCAGCTTCATGCGGGTCCCAACTGTTTGAACGCAAGGTTTCATTTGGGTTGAAGTGAGTAGCAGGGGTCACCATCTCATCTCAAAAAGCAACTCCTATTTCATCATATGTCATTTGACTCACTAAAACCATCTAAAACCCGCAGGTCGACTTATTGTCCATTTTGACGCAAGGACTCCATCTTTTGGGCACCCATACGCTGGCAGCAACAGCCATAAGGAATGAGGGAAAGGAAAGGACGGTGGCTGGGTCCTGAGGTATTTACACAGTCATTCCGAATTCCCTCATCCAGGACCTGAGCCGTACGTGACCTCTTTGGAGTCTCTGTTTGTGACCTCTTTAGGGACGATTCGTGACCTCAGCCACTAGGATCTCAAGTTAGGTCACGTACTGAAGGTCCTGGCATATGTGTCTTTCATACAAACCATAGTATTTCTGCCTAAAGGTATAGACTTGGGATCCACTCCTCTCTTTACTCATTTCCTACTGACAAACACGCCAGAGTGTTTGTCCGTGCCTCCGGATCGACGTCGCACCGGTGACGGACCCGCGTGGCGAGAGCGGCTAACGCTCCGAAGTTCTGCGGAGGTTTCTACATGGACGTCACCACCACGAGCGATTTCACCATCATTGTGAATCAGATCACCACGGGCTTAGGCTCCACAGGCGAAGATCGGAGGACGGTTTGGCCGACACCTCGTGTGACGTGTTATTCGGAACAGTCGGACGTTGAGTTGGGAGGTGACTTGGTTTGCATTTAGCATATTTAGCCAAGTTTGGAGAGGTTGATTTGTTAGGATTTGTGTATGTTGTTTGATGTTATTGTTATTTGATGTTATTTGCAAAAATAGGGATTCAACTGTGGAGATACCGTTGTATACAAGAGTTGTCTTAATTAGTCATTCCTAATCCACCAAATCTACAATTACATACAAGTGCATCAATGTTGGCGATTGGTTGTACGTGTATACATTGTGCATATGTGGTGTTCTGTTCAATCGGTTCTAAGATTCTATGTGTGAGTCGATATTTAATTTGTAGAACTTGTGATATATAGTCCACACTTGGCCACAGTTCTACACCCCCATGCTGCCATATGCCTCACCACTTGAGTTTGTAGTTGACATGTTGACGGAAATATATTGATGGGCCAAATCCTTATTCCTCAGAGTATAGGGATGAATAGTGATTGAACACGTGGCTGCTTTCCTTTGTGTAGTGTCCAAGAAGACTACAGCTGTCCTAGACATGCTTTGTTTTATTTTTGTGGAAATTAGGTGTATTACAAACCGTCAACCGTCATATACTTTCTTGTTGACCTAATGGACTCCCCGCCCATGACTACTGATCCGTCACGGGCGAACGGACCGGGCAACGGTGCACCAAAAGAAGGAACGGTGTTCGACCAGAGGGTTAGGAATTTGATGGGGACACGGCCCCTTCCAGTTGGGCTTGACTTTTAGATATGAACTTGAATTGAAGGTGGGGGGAATCCACGAACTCCAAAACCACTGGGTTGGTCTTCAGTACCACTCGTCGCGTCGAAGAAAACAGCTGTCACATTCGCAGGGTCCATGTATTCCGGTGTTGCGTGGAAAACAGACCGTGTTGTGTGGACACTGGATGATGTCTGCAACTAAGAAGCTGGTTCAACATCTTTCCACCCTCCAAAGTACTCTAGAACATGGGACCAGGTACTACCCGGCCCTCAAACCCATGAAAAATACAGGTTGTCACGCACAAAAACCATGCTTTTTGCTAGGGAAACCACGTTTTTTTGATGGGCCATGTCAGACCCGAAAGGTAGTTTGTACTCACATCCTCGGTCGACTCGCTGGTTTGGTAGCGCAGAACTGACCTCGCAGGGATGGAATCGCTCCATGCGAAGTGGGACTACGATGTCTACTGCTGGGCACAGGAGTCTGCTGTGTCGATGAGTCAAGTGTCGACTACGCCGGTCATAATGGGTCAGACAAAACACATACCTAGAGACCTGAGGTCATATGGTTACGTGAGGTCATTTGAATATATCTCTCAATCATATGGTAACCTGAAAAAGGGGTGTCCTCTTTGAAGATCCCGGGTAGTAGTGTAGGGCGAAACCAGCCAGGTGACCCTGACAGGAGGGTGCTGGTATAAGCCCTGTAGGGATCCACTGGCATCTTCGCAGAAGGTACGACTGGGCCCTCCTGGCCTCCTGGCGCCAACATAAATGAGTGAACGAGATGGCTCTCGACACATATTTTCCCCAGTATCTTCAAGGTAAACCACGAACATTCGCAACCAGTGGTTCAAGTTCGACCAAATCTGTACAGACTCAGAATTAGAGTGGCAATTGGGATCCACTGGGATGTAAAATTGGAACTGGGATGCGATCACAAAATCGTCAAGCGGTGGGCTCGTTCTTCTTGGTTTGGCCTGATGATCAGCTGTGACCGGGTCCTGATTCGATCCTGACCGGGTCCTGAATGGGCCTAGGGCCTAGGGGAGTGGCATAGCAGAGGAGCGGAGCACGGCAGAGCACGGCAGAGCACGGCAGAGCACGGTGCACTTGACAAGCTTCACAGTGGCTGAACGTGCATGAGCGGGTGATTTGATGGATTGTCAAAGGGTGAAGCGGTGAAGCCTCTTTTTGGGGTACACTCCCGAGTCACATAGACCCTGACGTCCTGACGCCTGGAAAATGGTGTTCCTCTACCAACCCGTGGTTTTCAGGGTCCAGGTTAGTCTACCAGGGTGTAAATCCAAGAAAGGTGAAGGTTGCACATACACGTACGTCGACGTCGCCAGTCTCTAGCGACTATAGGCACTCCCCCCCTCGATCCAACGGATATATAGTTCTTTTCATGCGGATTTCCTGGTGTGAAATTGTGGAGCTGCAGAAGCGCCAGATCCTTCGAGCAAGCTTCGGTTTCAATGCCTTCATGACATCTTTTACGGCAAGGTTACCTTCTAGGGCTCCAGGAGGTTACCTCCTCGGAAGGTGTTTGGACCCTCTAAACCCTTCCCAAACACCTTCTCAGGGTTGGCTAGTTTGATTCGACTTTACCTTGTGGGTGAGCAGACAAGGTGGTTTGAGCGGTGCCTTTTTGATTCGGGCCACTGTCCACTCTGGTTTCATGCACAGACCAGGCCTTGGTATTTTCTCGTGTAACATGTTTGGGTGTATTTCATTGCTTGGGATGATTTCCCTTAAAGCTCGAAGTTGAGGAAAATTCTCAGTACTTGGTTTACCTCCGCACCCGGAGTTGATAAAATTATCTTAACTCTTGAGGCTAAACGTGCAGGGACACAATGCTCATTGTCGCGGCCCCTCGGATCCGGACGACTGAGAGACACAAATGACAGAGGCCAGACAGGAGGTGAACTTGACATGGAAAAACGCGCGGCAAGCAACGAGCTCCTGTTAGACCTTCCACTAGGGGGCTTACTGCCGTGCTTCGTTAACCTTTGCTTGAGCCATGAATGCATGTTTGTGATGCGGTATTCGCTTTGACTTGGCGCGCATCGCGCATCTAGTTCTGAAGCAAGTTGTCTTTGACCCTCAGTGTCTAGGGCTTCCAGCTGGAAGAGTGGAAGAGTCACCTTTGTGCACGCATGTGCTCCCATGATTTCCTCCCATACTTTCTCTGAACTCAATGCCAACTAGGTTGCATGGATGTCTCAAGTCTCCAGGATGCTGAAGGCTATCCCTACTACGGCCCCAATGGCATGGTCGCAGCCGAGGCACGGGCCCATGGGTCAGCTGCCATTATGCAGTAAGTGTTTTGGAGGATGAGTTTAGGAACATCAGCTATCAGTGGGAAGTTTGTCCACTGTGTGAGGCAAGGATTATCCCGGAAGTGCAACTCCCAAGCGGAACTTGCAGTTGAAAGCCGTTCTAGCCAGAGACCTTGCATGCGGTGCTGGTAGTCATGTTGCGGATTTGAGTGAGCGACCTAATGTCCGTTGGCTTGGGAAGTTGCCGTTTGGAGCCGGGTTTTAAAACTGTTAGGTAAGTGAAAGCATGCCTATTTGCTCGACACCGCTTGGCAGGCACTGCGAAGAACATAGAGCAAAATCAACAACACATTGTATTTTGCATGCGTACAACGAAAACAAAACCTGGATAATACACAAATACGCAAAAAATCAGATCAATATTAGATTTTGGTTGTGATTCAGGGCCCGCCTGCCCTTGATTGTCTCGTGACGTATCGTGGGTTTAACCACTCCACTTGGAGGCTTGTCCTTCCAATCCGGTGACGACGTTGGATTTGACCCGACCCTCTTTACGCTTCATCATGGCGGAATCCATCTCCAGTGCCTTGGTCATGTTTTGCCTCCCATTTTGTTTCAACACAATATATAAGAATTGTTGTGAATCACTAATCCATAATTATATATCAATATTGATCCTATATATACCAGATGTGGGTAATTGTCAGAACGTTATCGTGGTTCCCGCCCAACATTTTTTGCTAAGGTTTGAACACATGTGCAGCATTTGGCGTTTTTGTTTGTGCGGTTCAAAGGAATGAACAACAAGTTCCCATGTGGCGTGCCAGCAGCGGTTCGTTCTCGTGGAAAAAACAACTGGTGCACCCCTTGGTGGACCCCAGGACGTCGATGTCCCAGGTGTTTTGATTCGGGTTTAGGCGATCTCAACTTGGAACGTGCAGAGCATGTTTACTTGGGTCACCCCAAACCATCCCAACCCAACAGTATGTGTTTTTTGCAAGTTCTGCTGGTTTACCTTATGGTTTGGATATTGGTTCTGCGTGGGTCAGATTTGAGATATGGGTGTGTTTGCTTGTGTTGCTCCTGAAACATCCATTGGGTCGGTGGTTCTTGGTTCATGTTCCTCTTCCAGCATGCCTCCGGTCTCATCTAGGTCCATTCTGTGATTACTAAAGAGTGCATGCAACAATACAGTCCTCTTCAAGATGACCGAACACCACAATTCCTACAGATTGGTACCGATTCCATGATCCATTTGTGTGGTATTACCAGTTTGATCTAAAAGACAGTTTCTCCACTCCAAAGCAGGGGCTATGTGGATTCTAGGTACATTGATTGATGATCAAATTTACAGCCCGGGTTAAGCCGGACCAGCTTGCCAACAGCCCTGTTGACACATCCTCATAGCCAACAGATCGGTTTCAAGTAGATCCTTTTGAAGTACATCCAAGGGGTGAATCAAACCCAGTACGGCCAAGTCTGGTCAGTCCATTTTAGCCCAAGTACCTCCTCAGGTTCGGTATGACTGGACCCTCCTGGCACCCACCCCAGTCCCACCTTCGAAACGAAGGCACGACTGGAGGCCAAACGGGATTTCAGACTCGTTCACCGGAGTTCACCGTTGTGGCGTCGACCACTACGGTCCTCGTCCACCGCGCTTGGGCCGAACTGGGGCGAAACTCAGGTAGCCAGATCATCATCACCCTGCAGGCGGCCTGACCATGGACGACTCTTTCGCATAGACAGTAGACTCTGTGTGGGGGGCGAATTCGGCACCCGTAGACTCATGGTGCCATGGATTTCAACCCCACCCAGACATGGATTGTAAAACCTTTGGCCTGGGAGGCTAAATGTTATATGTCCTTAGAAGACTCAAATTGGTCCTCATCACTCCAAAGATCTCCAAAGCATTCTAAGCAAGTCTGGTCTTTGAACAGTCCATTGCTCTGAGATGGTCTTCCTCGATCCCCCAGTGGCGGAAAAAACCCACCGGTCATCCGCCAACGTGGGATCAACATCCAGTGGTTTTTTTAGGTGTTTGTGAGAACTTGGGTCTGGCCATTCTGGGCAGAGGTGATTTTTCTCCCGGCTTCTCGCTGTTTGGTCCGTCGATCAGGTGGATGAAGGAGCCAAGGCGAGGTGCGGAGGGACGAAGTGCCTGCTCTTGAGCGGTGCAACGGCCCGTTCGGCCTTTCTGGAAGGGCCATGTTCTGGAAGGACCTGGTTGTGGTAATTAGTCTAAAATCCCTTCTAAAGTAACAGTACCCAGACACTCCATGGAACCGGTATATTTACCTACATAGGGGTGTTTTGAGGGGTCAATGTAGGCAAATATGCCATACATGGAGTGTTTGGCAATGCTTGTTCCGTCAAGACGATTGAATCAATGGTGGGTGAGGAAGTCTAGGGCGATACCACATCCTCAAAAAGGATACACATGTTGCATGAGCGTTTCCCGACAGAGGTATCTTAACATCCACTGTAAAATATTTGGAGTATGTTTTTTCTAGAGTGTGGAACAATGTGGATCACTAAGTACTGTAATATTGGGTATTGTCGTTGTTGCGTATTTTATAAGTTTTACACTGACTTTCAGATTGCAAAGAAATAGGTAGCCCTGTGAGGAACACTGCATTCGTTTTGTTTTAAGCATGTGGTATGGATTTTACCGGATCCTTGTTTGCCCGCTCAGTCAAAGTGTGTGCATGGTCCTTTCTTCTTGTAGGATCTTGGCATAGCAGACTCAAGAATTGTGGAGGATCTACTACAATGAGACATGCACTCCAGAATCTTGCAGATGCTGTTTCGACTGAAGCAACAAATGTTACTGCAAGACTTTGGAGCAAACATAAGTTACATAGTGCATTCTTTCATTGTAAAACAAAAAACAACAAAAACAACCAAACACATAGTATTTCGTTATATTATTTGTTCATTTATATTTGTTTCAATAAAAACATGATGCAATAAAACCATGAAGCCCTCGGTCTCGGTCGGTCAGATGTTGTCCAACCAAAGCTCACCGCCGGTTCACCGCTGAGGTTCTGCACTGCGGATGTCCCCACGGACAGATCGATGACATGGATGACAGATCGTCACAGCACTTCGTCACCGAAGTCAGTTGTGTCGCATCAACGAGCTCTTGAAACTACTGGAGTTCTTCATGAAACACAACATATATCCGGGACGGACCAGGTAGGTCGGCTAGCTCAGACTGGACGGAACCGGATTGAGACAGCCTGATGCAGCGAACTCGCCGGACCACGCTCCGATGGGTTCTCCAATTGTAACATCGCCGGGCCCCCCACTAGGTTTTATAAAGCACTGATCAAGTCATCTCTAGGTTTTATAAAGCACTGATCAAGTCATCTCCGTGACTCTTTGGCGGCCCCCTAAGCTTAACAGGAAAATGGTGATCAAGGTGCCTCTCCGTGCTTAGGGCAAGAGAGGGAATTGTGCCAGGGCTGCTGGGTATCCCTTTTCCCCCTTTGGTGCCCAAAGGAGTTCCATCCAAGCACCCAGCAGCCGTCGGCGTTGGGCCGGCGTGGCGCCATGGGCTGCTTTCGGAATGTGGGCGTGAAAGTGCGGGGAGCTGGTCGTCCGCGCTTCCTATTGCTGGTCTTCAGCCTTAGCCTTGGGTGCCTAGACATGAGCATGGCGGGAGAGGATTGAAGTGGCGCCGGAGTGCCAAGTGCCAAGCGAAGAAGGGTGCATGTGTATCTATGCCGGTTGGGCTTCCAACCACCATTATGTAGTTTAATAGGATTTACCGAACCAACTATAAGGATTTTATACAACAAAACCAGGTCAACCATTGTTTTAATGGTCTTGGAAGTCTAAGGTTTCTGATTTGTCATGTCCCTATATATTCTATATAGAGTATACTCTTATACGATGGTCATGTGCCGCATGCCGTCGCTACAAATTCACGGAGTGCCCAGTGGACTGCCAGAGTCGCTTCTCGCCCCAAGGGTTGCCCCAAGGGTCGCGAGACCTTGGATATCATATCCCTGCTTTTGACCTACTGGCAGTTGATCGTACAAACGCACGACAGTTTGAGGCTAAGGACCAGGTTTTACCCTGTGGCTGTGCACCTGTCGGTTTCTCCCGTCATGAACCTCCTGTGGCGGGGTCCATGGAAACTCAGCACAAGATGCAAGCGACGCGAACAGCAACGACAACATCGTTCAGAACCAATACGGATGGTGGATAGACAGAGATAGACAGAGAAAGAGCCTGAAGAAGAACATTTAAACTATAAACCAGGACTTACGAATGTGTAAACCTGCCTCACTGGAGAAATCTTGTTGGAACAACTTGTTGATCCCGGTCCGGCTATAGACCTTCACCCTGGTTTTTTCGTCCTACAGTGTGATCATGTGTGATCGATCTTTTCCCGAACTGGGCCAATATTGTCCCCTTCTAGACTATAGAGGACATTCTGTATATAGGGGTGCTAGACTAGAGGTCGTTTTGTCACGGCTCCGAAACAGCAGATCCCTGTTTTGGCGCCGAAACAGGTATCACTGGTGCTTTGCCGCACCGACCGCTCCACCACGTGGATCCTTGACCGGGCGGATCGCAGACGCCTCCGGAACCGCGCGACCCCACGTGGCTTTCCGCGCGTCCGGGAGCGGTGAGGCCAGCGCCGCGAGCGCTAGCGTGAGTGATGCAGGAATCAACTTGGTGCCATGCCAGCATGCGTTGGTGTCACCGGGGGTATCAGGCTATAGGGGGTTCTAGGGGGAAATGATGGGAATGGGTATAGGCTTGCGGCTATGCCACACAGTGAATTGTTGACAATTAATTGATGTTTTTTTGGGCGGGTCCGAATCTAGGGGTTGTTTTTCCTTGTCGTTCTAAAGGACAGATTTGAAGCCATCCACACCGTCATGTGACGTCTTTTTTCCGGTTGTGTTCACCCACCTCCCCAGTGCTTTGGGCTCCCCAGTCCATCGAAAAAGAACAGACCACTTCTCCGGTGGAAACACCGAAGACACGCTGTCCCCCACCCTGAACCCACACGGGCTCAGCGTGCGGCCGAGGCAAAGAACCTGGTGGGTTCCGGCATCCTCAGCTTGCCTGCCGGCATCGCGGCCACTGGACCCGAAGAGGAACAAACACAAGGGGAAAAACAGACGCAGCGTGTGTTCTCCGCCGGGACATGGCTTTTCGGTGAGCACAGCAGCCTTACTGCTGTGCTGGAAAATGGGGGGATGGCGGACTAGCAGATCGATCGTTGACAGTTGTTGGATGATTATGATGAAATATGCAATCCACCTCCAATTGACCTGGAAGCCCCAATTGGAAGCCCTTATATAACTTATAGTCGTTATAAGTTATAGTGCTCCGAGTGTTCCTTCCAAATGAGTATGAGCAAACCTCAGCTGGTGACTATAGTTTCTTAGCTGATTGTACCACAGTTGGAAGGCATCACCCTGAATCAACGACACGAGACAAACGCCGCTGGGCCTCGCCCTCGCAAAAACCCAGGCCTTCGCTTCCTCGTCCTCCGCCCTCTGGGTCTCCTTGCTCTTGCTGGGCGGCTCCGCAGGGCTGAGTGCCTATACCTTCTACCTCATCGGAGCCTCAGCGGCAGCGGAGAGAGAGGTGGAGTTTCCGAGACGCGAAGGTTCAGAGCTGAAGTGAATCCTCAACCAAGCTTTTGAAGTGGAACCCTCGGACACCAGTCACGGTCATCAACGTCGCGTGCCTCCGGCCTTCGTCTTCGCCTTGCCTCCGGCGCTCACAGCTCGCATCCGCGTGCACCGCGCGCGGGCGCGGTGTGTCACCAGCTGCTCGAACGAGGCAAGGTGTGTCAAGAGACGGAGAGCGCCAGCTTCGGCGCCGCCTGGGAGAAGTCGGTCCAGTCGGGCAAATGGATCCCACAATGGGTCTGCAGCTTGGAGAAGTCATGAGGGTCGGATTCATGGCGCCGAAGATGTGGAGTGTGGGTCTGGCTTCGGACGGTGAGAGATGGACCGTTCAGTGAAGCCTTGAAGAACTGGTTGGTCCCCTCATCTCTTTGGTCTTTGGGCCATGGCGGCCATGCATGACTTTCTTTTTTGCGGGTGTCATGTTATGTCCATCATGTCATCTCATCTCATCTCTCTCTTTCTCTATATCTCTATGCGAATTGGAGGCGAACTGGGTACGAGGGAACCACGCAGTCACCTGTTGACCGGTCTAGGCGAGTTTTCGGGATCAGTGCCCACCGGTTCTGCTCGAAGACCAGGGCCATGCTTTTCGCCTGGGAAGGACAACCTGCAGAACCTCTTTTCGGGGATTGGAACCCCCCACGAGCGAACGCGTGGACAAAACGTTTTCCAGTGAAACTGAGAGAGTCCGCTATTTATTAGTATAACTTCCCATGTAAGTTACTCGGAAGAAACCTTAGTGCGCTTAGTGGTGGCATTTGTCACTTCAAGTTTGCTGTTAGATAGCTTTCATGTTCTTTCCTTACAGAGTAGCAACCAATGACCTCGCCAAAACACGTCATTCAGTTTGTTAGCTTGTTTGTGTCGATTACCCTTTGGGTTTCACATGTTTGGCCATACCTTGGCTACATTTCCTGCTTGTCAGACCAGCCTTCCATCCACCTGTGAGTGGGCCAGTTGGAAGGGGGTTTAAGGACCAGACGTGCCAACCAGGACCAACAACCATAGAACATGATGCTTCTGAAGCTACATGTTGAGTCTACACATGGCACATCATGGCACCCTTTCTGTAGGAGTAGATGGCATTAGCATGGCTTGCGAAAGCACCCCAACTCTGAGGCATTCTTGAGTGTTTTGGTGGCGCCGTGGTCTATGCCATGGCTCCTGTGTCAGCATGCGCAAGCTGAGGCAATTCACTGTGCACTTGATCCAGTAAGCATAGAGAACTGCGGGTCCCACCTCTATACCCACACTGGACAAGGAGTGGTGAATGGAGACCCCGCATCACCATCTTGTGGGGCTGAAACGCACGCAAAATGGGAGGCCCTGGTATTTAGTTGTTCACCATTAATCACCATGTTCGTCCCACCCGAAACAAACAACACTCTGTGTTTGAGTGCAGTGATCGTTTGGAATTGCCAAAAGCCGTCTTGGAATTTCCACCAAAAGCTTGCTTTGCGGCACCTGTAAACAAGCTGTTTTGATGATGAACATTGTAACATTATGATATTAAAATCTATCATTGCCTACCAGGGCCCCCCAAGGGGTGGTTAATGGAGACCCCTAAAATCTAAGGGGCTATTATTAGACACCCCATAGGGGCCCTGGTATATAGAGATCCACTAGTATACTTGATTCTTAAAAGTGTTTTGTTTTTATGCTTGGGGGCTTAGGTGGTCACTTAGAGACTCCTCAAATAGTCAGTTTGAAGAAGCTAGTACTAGTACTACTAGTACTAGTCTACTACTACTACTACTACTACTAGTAGTAGTAGTAGAAGAAGAAGAAGATGTAGACACATACTCAAATTCAGTTTACAGTAGTTGGACCATGGATAGATTACGATTGATTGTTTTTGTCTTCTGAGGTTTTGGGCGACGTCTTCTCTTCCTCCTTTCAGAACCTGCCGGTGCCAGCAGTCTTGACCAGCAGGAGGGGCATTCAGAAGACACACAGTCCATTTGAGGGAGGCACACTCATCCTGACAGGCCAAGTCGATTTCCAATTTTGAAAAGTTGGACTTATATACATAGTGGGAAACGCGACTGTTCTTCCAAACAAACCATGCATGCGGCAGTGTCGAAGAGATCCCCTCTCGCTTGGTGCTTTATTCTATGACTGGTCCTGGTCGCCTGGCGTGTGTTATTTGTTTTACAATGGTTCGCCGCGATGTCGGCGTTCTTTGTTCCACCACCCAGCGACTTTTGCAGATTAACAACCCAAAACCCAACGGGTTGGTATTCGGAAAATGGTCGGTGATTCTCAGGTTCCATGTTCATCTGCGGACCCATAGGCCCGAGCAGGGGGAGCAGGCGTCAGGACAGAGTTCCAGGCTCCTCGGCGCAAACAGGTCGGGCGTGATCCTCTTGGTCTCCGCTCTGGTGCTGTACCCCCTGTGCTGCTTGCGTTCGTTCGCCCAGCTGGAGTCTGGGCTTCAGAGATAGAGATAGGGATGGGCAGCTGGGGGTGAACAGGAGGCGAGGTATGGAGGTATTGCAGTGATTCCAAAACGCTGGGTCACTGCGGTGTGATGTTGTGTGTACTACCGTAAATGTCCATCCAGCATGTTTCCCTAGGACTCCAAAAGCACCTCCTCACATTCGGTATGACTGGACCCTCCTAGCACCCGGGCCCCCGTCGTCCCACCTTCGATACGAAGGTATGACTGGAGCCCCACGGGTTTCATTGCACCCCATCTTCCCAAGCCACAGTCTGTCGTGCCGATGTTGTTCCACCACCAGCCACCGGGTAATCTCCCAGCCAGCGGTTCCTGCGAAGCCGCGCGTCGCAGCTGACCATCACAGCGAGGCCAAGTTCTCCTTGCTGGGCACTTTAGCCACCAGCTACGTGGTGCTTTTTGTGGTGAAGCGCCACCCGGAAGACAGTGAGCGTGTTATGTGCGCCACTCGCGGGACGTGTCAATGTTAAACTGAACTGTTATGTTATGTGTAAATAATAGTTTATGTTCTTATTTTTGCAGGAAGGGTGTTAATTTTTTTTGTGGTGTCAGTGCTTGAACGTCCCTTTCCGGATGCGCAGATTCTTCGGATCTTGGGTCCCTCTCTACGTAGGGAATTGTTCGAACGGCTCATGTTGTTTGGTGGTTTTCGGATGAGATCCATTTTTGAACCGAATGTGCCAGTGTCACGTACTTGGAGACCCTGGATGATCCTGGATGATGGCATACACCTATTGATACTGGGACTGGTACCATCTACCTGCAGTCTCAGTCCACATGAAAGTTTAATAGTTGTGCCCAGTTTGGGTCACGTAAACGCTGCCAGTCCAAGGTTTGTGTTCGCTTCAAACCAAGGTTTTCTCGATGGTAGCTATGCAGCTGGCGGCCAGTTCTTCAAAGCTGCTGCACTGGCGACGAGTGCGCACACCTCGATCTTCAATCCACAGATGCCACTCACACTTCAATCCCACCGAAACGATCCTCGCGCGTTTTTAAAACATGACGCCTACTAGCATCGTTGCCCCTTATACATTCCGGGAAGATCAACACCCTAAGGGATCCAATCCCAGACACTCCATGTATGCCATATATGCCTACTTTGACCCCCCAAACCACCCCAATGTAGGCATATATGGCATACATGGAGCGTCTGGGAATCGTACCTCCTCAGAAGGTACGACTGGACCCTCCAAACGCTACATAACAGTGTCGAACACATCACCTTCTGAGAAGGTACGACTCGATCCCTAGGGACATGGAACCTCACCTTTGGAAGACTATCCCTAGGGCTCCAAGTGCCTCCTCAGAAGCTACTTGGAGCCCTCTAGGGTATAGCTTCCTCATGCTTCCTCCACGTTCACCAGTGGAGTGAAATGTGGAGCTTCGTCTTCGACACGACCTGACCTGGGGCTGACATCTAGATTTCCTCCGATCCCTAGACTTTCAAGACCATTAGAACACATATATTGAAACTAAACAATGGTTGACCTGGTTTTGTAGTATAACATCCTTATAGTTGGTTCGCTTGAAACCTAGTTATTAAACGAACGGTGCTTGGAAGCCTAGCTCGGGCCATGATCAGGCTCCAGATCCACCTTCGGACTCATCTTCCAGATCTCCACCAGTCGAATACCACTGGTGGGCCCACCTTTGAGACGAAGGTACGACTGGAGCTGGGTGCCTATATTGACCCGATCCTTTCAACCACCCCAGCTGAGCAAATACCCTTACATCCCCCCTGGCCCCAGGCCCAGGGGTGTCTAAGAATGGCCCCTTTAGAGGAGGTCCATGAACCACCCCTGACAGGGGGCCCTGGAATATATGCCATACAAATTGAAGTAGGGAATTGTGGAGTGTTTGGGAATCGTGGCGCATGTGGACTTGTCAACGGAGGTTAGTCCTGGTGGCCTTGCTCTCGACCGCCTTCTTGGTCCATTTCAACGCGCCGCAGTCGCCGGGCGTAACATAGTTCTGTCTCTCACGGGGCGAAAGAAGCCAGGCAGCTGGGCTGGGGTGATTTTTGGGGCTGAAGAAGTCGGTCAACAAAGGGGGTGAAGAGGATTCGCAGCTGGACGATGGGTGGTCCATCCTCCAGCTTTGGCCCTTTGGAACAGCTGCTGGGCCAAGTTGCTGACCACTTTCTCCGTTGCATTGTTGACTTGCAAGATCCAGGAACACCCAAATTATGATGGGCCCTCCCTTAAATATTTATTCCAGGGGGGCATGTCACATAGTGGAATATTTTTTGTGGAATAATTAGACGGTAGAATATTTATTTAAATAATCCTAAAGGGGGTCTCTTGATGCTGAGACTCAGGAGGAATAATTTCATGCCAACTATCCCTGGAATAATTTACATAATCGAAGCTACTATCGAAGCTTTTCGAGCCTGTGTTGATCTGTCTTGGATCTGTTCCACGAGTTGATATTTCTAATGACAGAAAATATTCCTGCATCAGGTGCACATCTGGAATAATTATCCTGAAACTATGTTCAAGGCCCCAGGAATAATTGCTAATTATTCCTAGGTATGTGGAGATAGGGGGGGGTCTAAGGTAGGGGCCATAAATTATGTATGCTCCAGTGTTCTTGAAAGTTGTTTTTTGACCATCAAACTTATGAAAACACCTTCATTTTTCATGATCCACTTTGCAGTATATGCTCGCTAGGGCTGGACACTCCCAAGATTGCTCCTAAATTGACTTCACCCAGATGCAGATAGTTTCTCTCAAGGGTCTGAACAATATACAATCTCTCCCCTAGGGCTCCAAGTACCTCCTGAGAAGGTCTTTGGACCCTGATAGCCCACCCCAAGCACATTCTCAGAAGATACTTGGAGCCCTAGGGATTGTAAATTTTGGGAGAACAGTTTCTCCATGATTTGTTTGCCGCTTCTGCGAAACTGAGGTTCTTCGTGGAGCTTCCTCCAGCGAAGCCCACCAGTGAGGAGAAGCAACAGAAGCTCAAGGACTTCAGCAAGGTCCCAAAACGTTTTGGGCCAGACCAGTCTACCCCCCCCCGTTGAGGGTTCGGGGGGGTTCTCTCCGAACAACTCAACCAGCAAAACCACATCATGGTCGGAGGAGAAAGACCAGTGCCTTCCGATCGAGGGGCGCCAAATGGGGTCGCGATCGGAGTCAGGTCGAGCCGACGGATCGATGGGACTGAGCTGATGTAACCTGGGAAAGCCATGGAACCGAACCCAAAGCCATGGTGGGCGTGACCTCCCTGGTTTTTCGTCTTTGTTCAGTTTCGGGAAACACCATGGGTCAAGGTGTGGTTGTCCAGAAGGGGCTTGTTGTCTTCAAATGAACAGACACGGCTGAGGCGACTTCACAAAAAAAACAACACAAAGACGACTCTGAAAACGCTTCGAGTCGAAGACATGTGTTTAGGAGGAGGTGTTTGTTGCTTTAACAAGTGGCTCTCAAGACCATGGATACAGTTCTGCCCGTGGCTTCCATGAATAACAGTGGTTTTGGGAGCTTTGGGGCACTTTGGATGCAGATTGTTTTGGCGTGGAGTCCCTTCCTCTTGGAGCCTAGACTGGACTCGTGTTTTCCGAGTAAGGTGTTTTTTTTTTCGGGTTAGCCCTAAGTGAGCGGATCATGGGCAAGCCCGGCGGACAGCCCCTAGGCCTATCCTCCAACGATCTTTGAGCACTCCGACATGTCATAGAACTGCTGGCTAGCTAAGCCTGCTAAGCGCCTCCAGGTGTCGCTGATCGGCTTTGGGATTGCTTCTCTCCAATATGCCCTGGTAATGTGCTTTGGCTTCTTGACCTTCGGCCAGGCCGTCAGCGGGACCCTGGGGCTGCGAAGATCGGCGCGTTTTGGATGTGGGACCAGGTTTCCACCCTAGGGATCCACTTCTCAGGTTCGGTACGACTGGGCCCGACCCAGGCGCCTACATAAACAGTCTCCGTCCTCACCAAAAGGTACTTGGATCCCTAGGGCAAAGGAGTCTTGGCAAGAGCACGTATTGGGATTCATAGGGTGTGGAGTTCTGCTGTTGACACAGACATCCTCCCTGAGTGGATGTAGATGACTGAGATTATTTGTGCAGAGGTCTTCTTTTCTTTGGGTCATGAATTGTGCTTATACTATCATTATGTTCCCTTGCAAATGATATATACTAGATACCAATACGATGCCATCTTCATATCAGCCATCTCCAAACAGCCACAGCAGCTGGCGCCCGAAGTGCTTGGAACGCCGAGGAATGTGCTCCTGAACTACGATGCGGCGGACCCTTGGGCGACGGTGGCACGCTTGGCGGTGGGCGTCTCCATGCTCTTCGGGTACCCCATGCAGTTCGCAGGCGCCAGAAGACGCCGGCGTGAGACACGGCGCGTGCAGAAGGAGAGGCCGATTCCACCCGGTCCGCGGATGGAGATCGGTCCGCCCAATTCGTGGGAGACGGTTTTTATCCTGAATTCGTGGGGATGGTTTGGGTGGTTTCTGATGAGGATTTTCGGGGTTTGAAGGGGATGATTGGTCGAACAATATTCTCATGTCCTTGAGGCTGGAACTCCCAGCTGCCAGTTTTTCATCGAAAGATCGAACCTGACGGACACCTGCTTTGGAGCGGCGGCCAATTCCATCCTTTTTTCTCCCAGATGTGGAAAGAAGTCACAAGGGTTCTAGGACTCTACCAGCTGCTTCCAAGGGGTTACGAATGGACAACGGGTTACGAATGGACAACCCCACACTGCTTATAGGTTAGGACACCCATTGGAAGCGCTAGGTAGGATTTACTTTACACAAAGTGGGTTCCCAATGAATCAAACTCACCTTGATCCTGAATCTGTGGGTTTAACTAACCTTAGTGCAAGTAGTGCAGGAAGGAATCGACAACATATTGACCCGTGAGTTCTATGTTTGTGTTTTCCTTTCTCAGTTGGCCGAAACTGAAACTGACCTTTGTCTAATTATACATATTTTGGTGCCCTGTGGCCTAAAGGTTCCTGATAGCAGGCTCTTCCTACCACTGATCACAGTTGAGTGGTGATCCCTGCTTCGAAGCTTCACTACTCACTATGGAATCTTTCATGGAGAGTTGCAGTCAAGCTGTCTCCCACTGTCATTTGCCAAGTTCCTTTTGTCCAAAGTGAGAAAGAATGATATGCAGCACAGATGAAACGCATAGACCTATAGGAGGTAGTAGGGCCTACATGGACCAATATGGACTCCCTGGACCCAGCGCGTTCTTTTTTGCGTAACGAACCACTCTCCAAGCCTGGACTCCGACGCACAACCCGACGGACGGTAGCCTGCCAGGCTTCCGCGATGGCTTGCTGGAGCTGGGCCACATTGACCGCCTACCCACGGTCCGTCTCAGCGTGAGAGGGAGCCTGGGTGACCGGTGACGGTGACTTCTCGGGAGAGATTGGTAGACCTCAAGCAGTGTTGGAGGGGATTTGGGTGGGTCCAACCCTACCAATCCTTAGTAGTATCCTCTATAGACTGTTGATTAATAAACCCCACATGGCAAGAGGATGTCCAATCCAATCGGAGGGCAGCAGTGGGGGCAGTTTATAAATCTGTCTACATTAATTAGGTGAACAATTCAGGGATGGTGAACATATGTTCCTCAAAAGAACTTGGTGTCAGAAGCACCGAGTGACTCGAATTCAACCCCTTCTTTTTTTGGAAAAGGGAAGGATGAAGGGTGAAGGTCGCCATTGCGAGGTATATAGAAGATCCCCAAGTTTATATTCAGCTCACTAAGTCGACCTCCATTCTTGTGAATACCGTGGTTTCAGGAGTTCGATGACACCCCCAAGATGTCTTAGACAGATGCGGCTGAATATGAAGCACCTAACTCAAGAAGACACAAGCTGCTGAAAGAACATCAGTCTCCATCACTCTCCTATCGTTACCAGAGGCTCATTTCGGAAGACTTAAGAGAATACCATGAAATACCAAACATTTTAAGTTTTGTGGTCCATGAACCCAAGGGTTTTGGAGTATTTGGGGGATCCATGTTTCATGTGGGTTCGCTTCATTCACTACTCAAGCAAGCAGGTCAAGCATCGCCTGGTCACTGGCGCATTGCTGGCAGTGGCCGTGGCGGTCGCGTGCTTCTTCCGGGATTTGGGGCTGGTGCAGGCGGAGCGATGCGCGATCCCACGGCGGGTGGGGCGGTGGGACCGGAGGTCTGTTGAAACTGCCTTCGAAGAAACAGCATGAACAAGCTTTTGATGGATGTTTGAACAGTGCTCTTTCATTTTCTTGAGAAAGGCATGCAAAAACACATAGAAAAACCCAAGGTATGCAGTGAGGAACTCTTTGGTATGAAGACAAAACCCGCAGTCCTTGCAGCTGGTGAGGCGGTGGAGGGTGCCCTTTTGGCAGCTTTCCTCGTTTTTCTGGCCGGTCCCATCATGGCTTTGAAGCTGCCCTTCGGCCGGGCGCCTCGTGCGCGGCGTGCCTTCCAAGCGCTCATCGTGCTGGGTGTGAGCTTCATGGGCCACTTGGAGAAGGGTGGAATTGCGTCGAGGGTTCTTTTTTACCGTGACGAGGTGTGCTTCCCTTCCAAAAATGTGCCACAACCGTCCAATCAAATGGTGACAGCTTGACATCCCGGGACATGTGGATTTTGGATATTGCAATTGACACGCAACTATATATAATCTCGTCTTACTTATCAGATTTGTCTTTGTCTGGGGAAGATGTTTTTTGTTTCCCGGTTCCATGAAGATAATATCGATGCAACCTCCCAGTCTCAGCCCGCTTTTTAGAGACATGAAGTTCCCACCATGTTCCTTTGGAGAACATGCGTGCTTCGATTGCAAAGGTCAGCTGTTCACAGCAACCAATGCCGTTTCTATTGTTTCACCCAATGTCATGACAGGTCCGCAGGCGCACTTTGATTTCATGACAGGTTTCTTTATATGGCAGTGGATCAAAACCCGTAACCCGGGTTGACCGCTGAAAATGAACAGATTCCTCTATATGTATATATAAGGGATGCCAACCCATGAGGATTTGGGGCTCTATGAAGAGCAACTATACTCGCTCGCGCTCTTTTTCCACTTGAGCCTTGAGCCAAAGTAACGAAGTGCATACCCGATTGACCTGGTTTCTGGTGTCGGGTCTTCGGTTGATGGACTTGTGGATCTGTGATATACATTGGATGATCCGTCCATTCCCAAGCTGATTGAAATTGATCAGCTCTACTAAAAACCATTGAAAGCACTGCCAAAAATAGCCTAAATGCTACAGCTTGGCTTCCAAATCTCTGGGCCTTTACATATGGGATTCCATAGAGTCGAACTCTGATGGAGTACTTATCAACGTACTGATTTCATGCAACACTGTTCAGCATACATAGAAAGCGTACATCATACACCCCCCCATGCTGAATGGTTTGCATGCAAAGAACTTTCCACAACTCATCGGAACATCTAAATCTGCATTCCAACGATCGAATCTGCAATTCTGCAATCAATCAAGGAACTAGGACCGGGATACTGTGGATCTCAGCAAAAGAAAACTTGAAACACTCAAATTCATCCCAACCACATCTTTCTCTTCTTCACCATGCAGTTGGGGCAACAAAGAAAATGTTCCATCGAAAGCGACTGCATGTACTGACACACTCCATTCGCGTGTGCCAGTCTCGATGACTTGGATCCTTTTGGAGGCCAATCACCGTGGAGTTCCATACCATGGATCACTTCAGAAAAATCAACGCAATCACAGCATTGAAATCCAGTAATCACATCTTGCTGAAGCAAATTAGTGCAATGCTCAAAATGAATGAACCCATTCCAATCTCCAACCAGCCGGGTTCTCTCATTCTTAGGTGCAGGCTCAAACGAAGTGGCTTTCAGCCTCCGAATCGAACTCGAGGCACTTGCTGCTTCGGATACATCTGGCCTTCCTTGAACACTGCTCTGTTCAGCTGTGTTGGATACTCCAGTGGAAACTTCCGTTGTTGACCCCCTTGGACCTTCTTGCTCTAACAAAGCATCGGCTACGGCGGCATCCTCTTCAAACACATATGGATTCCGCTGTATAGTTCTAACACCGATTGGTCTTGGTAGCATCTTCTGTCGGTTGTCTGGCGATGACCCTGGTGGATCATGAGACACTCTCCTTGCAGTGTTCCGACTCCCAATAGGCTCATCTCCTTTAGATTGAGATCGCTTTGACATGGCTACCAATGGGTGAAATACAATTTTAATCGAACTTTCAATTTAATTGAAATCGAACTATGCAAAATGGAAATCTGGCTTATCATGCATCTGGTAATTCTCAAGTGACATATATTCGATCGAACTTCGTGAAACATCCGTTTGAAACACATGAGTACTCAAAATCATGACAACTTCTGACTCACCTTGGCTGACATGGTGGTGACTATCAAAGATTGTCCTCTGGAAAATTGTGATTCTGCTGAATCTGTTCTGTACATGTCGACACTTCCTGCATGCTCACAAATCTCTGGTTCGAACCTTCTCTGCCGCGACGTCACTCATACCAATTGGATTTTCCTTGGCCCTCGTGGTGTTCCTCGAACCGACTTCCATCTTGATCACCCCAAGCTTGAAACACTGACAACTCACATGCCAACGAAAGCTATTCTCTCGATTTATCAACTGCCTCAACTGGACAATGAATGGAGAAAGATATCGTTCGACATGAGTCGGTCGGAGAACTTTGGCACTCAAGTCCCTGAACACCTTCTCCAACTGCATTGGGTCTCTTTCAAGATCTGCACTGTCGAACTGGGCATATAGTGACTGTCGGGTAAGTCGCTGCATCCGGTAATGGGCCCTTTGACACACATGTGATGTTGGCACCCTCAAATCACCAACAAAAATCAACTTCATCATCACACTTCCAAAAACCATCTGGATCTCAGTGAAGATACCTGATATCACATGTGTACCATAACCCAAATGGATGACTGACACAACCCCCTTCACGTCCCATCCGGACAACATCGACTGCCAGGTAGCCTTCTCAACGTGGCCATACCTTGGCTCGACCATGCGGTTCCTCTCGAACTTCACCACATCCTCACAGGAGTCCACCTGTCTGGCCAACACGACTCGCATCCTATGCGGTCTACACATTTCGTCACATGACATCAACGTCTCTTGAACCCCGGGTTCAAAGACCGCGCGCAACAACCATCTCATGGTCACACCTCCTAGAGGCAACTCAACGCACCTATGCAACTTCGTCTGCATGTGCAACAACCACCTTGTGGTTACACCTCCTAGAGGCAACAACATCGTCTTCTCATGTGCATACCTATGATACTCTCTCTCTGGAAATGCACAACAGCACATCTGCTTATGACGACCTATCACGATCCCTTGGATCACATCGCATCTCATGCGACACAACAGACAACCACAACTGGCTGACCTGTCCTGTACCTGAACCTCGACATCTTCAAGATTCACACAAACTGTACATTCAACTTGCAAACTTAGTGCAACTTGCCTATGCTTTGGTTGTCCTATGTTACCAACCAATCTGCTGTACTTTGGTTGTCCTTCGTTACCAACCAATCTGCTCATTTCTCGGCAACTCCCAATTGCCTTCTCGTCAATGTCAAACTGACCACACCACTGCTTGCAAGCGATCATTTCTCTGTCGAACAACCTGCTTCTTTGCATGTTACAGGCTCTACATCGACTAATCACCTGCTTCTGTACCTTCAAACCTGAACAACCTGTCAGGACCTTTTTGACTGATCGGCTTGACATGACCACACTTAGTTCCCTTTTCGAAATGACACTGCCATCGTGCCAAATCAACCTCACATGCCTTTCAACGAACAAGCATGCGACCAATTGATCGATCTCTTCACGACCATTCTGTCTCCCTTGGGCTGGCCTCAATGTCCACGCACGAACAACGTGTCCAAGATCTTCCCAGTAGTAGGGACTGTCAGGACAAACTTCAGGTGTCATGTTGATGGTTTTACCTGAGGCGAAAAAGGCATACGAGTACCATGACTTGTGACACTTCAAGATCTCGAATCCAGACCTTTTCACCACACAACCAATCAAATGACTTCCTAACACATCTTGCATCAACATCTTTTGTGCTGCGACGAATGCTTCAACCCATCGTTGCTCATGAATACACAAGCAATTCAATCTTCGTCTCACATACCTATAATCAAACATGCTGGCATCCTGTGGCTGACACATCTCTAAACATAGTGCGAACTGCATGCACAAATCCATTATGGTCTCTTGACTCCTGAACTTTGAACCGAACTTACCTGCACGAATGCATCGTCTCGTTACTCTCTCAAGGCTCTGGATCAAGAGGCATCGATTTATTATCAGGCTTTCTGACACCCGTTCTGACGACCCTTGGTGAACAACTCCTACCACGATTCCTGAACCCTCAGTGAAAGGATTTCTTCCCATGCAGTTATCATGCATCTGAAGGTTACCTACTTCTTCATTTTGGATTCTGCAAGCAGTCTTCTCACCAAATCTACTGATTTCTGGTTTGATGTGTCTTCCCCTAACCACATGCATATTTGGATGGGAGGTTTTCTCATGTGATGTATTCGGTGTTTCCCACATGATCCCTCTATGTTCAGGCTCAATCTTCTGCTGGCATCTTACCCCATCAACGTTTTCGAGATGGCTCACCTTAGCTTGTGACTGAGTGTTGAACCAAAAGTCATCAGCCGTACAGCATCGAAAGCACTGCCAAAATAGCTCAAATGCTACAGCTCGGCCTTTGGTTCTCTGGCCTTTACATATGGAGATTCCATCGAGCTCAGCTCTGGCAGAGTACTTATGCTGTACTGATTCCCTGCAACACTCTTCAGCATACACCGAAGAGTACATCAAGCACGGATGGAGCTTCACATCCAGGGATCTCGGGAGGTTACATACGGAGAGGGCAAGCTGGGTAGCTTGGTGGGATCCTACTCGCTGCATACCCGATCGACCTCTGGTTTCTGGTGTCGGTCTTCTGGTAAATGGATCTGTGGATCTTGTGATACACACAGGATGATCCGTCCATTCCAGCTCATGCCATTGACATGGCAAGAGTGACTTGCAGACCAGGGCTCGGCAACTGGTCGGTCTAGAACGAACCACCGACCCACAGTTCCATATTTCCTGAGAGCGGGCAGCAGGCGGATGAATTGAATATCGTGGCATGAAGAGCATCTGTACTCGCTCACGCTCTTCATCCACTTGCATCGATCTGACTTTGGATCTAGTCCAACTCCGGCATTTGGATCTTTTGTTCTTGGGGCATGTCACACATGGCACACCAGTACACATGGACGTGCTACTCTGTGTCGACAGGCAAGTATATGTGCGGTGTTGTTTCGAGTATGTACCGTCTTGAACTCTACACCACCTCTTTGTGTCCATGCGACATGAATTGGCATACGAACATGATTCTTCTAACGAGCTCGGTTTACGACATCTATCGGACAGCTGACGTTTGGATTCCACAAGATCAAAATTGATACACTCATCAAACCACTGCATCAACCATGTCATTGCGGGCGAAATGTTTGAGACATGAGAAGCTCGCCTACCTACTGTTTCACACGCAGCTGACCAACGACTTTGTGACTGTTTTTGCTCATTCAAAATCGTTTGCATGCTCTTAAACACAAGTTCTTCTGGCTCTATAGCTTCATTTTCAAACTCATGGTACTCTGCACCAAAAGAATTGTGTCCAACATTTCTAGCACTATAGCTCATATTCATATCAGTCTTTGGTTTTCTTCTACTTACCAAACACGCTCCCTGCCCCACAAGTTGCTTCGATCTTGACGGATCGGTTGGTTCAGCGGTTGGTGCTTGGCCAGCTCGGATTCGGGTGATCTGCTGGCTGTTGTCGCTCGGCTGATCTGCAACCTGAATTGGGCTGAGCGATGCTGCATCTCTTCTCGGGGTTCTATTGGCTTCGAACTGCACGAAAGGTTCTGGCTCCATTGCTTGACCTGGATCTGTTGGATGGTAACCTTCCATGAATTCCCTCAAGGTCAAATAACCGTCACTGGTTTCAACCCCTGTGCACTGCAACGAACCCTCGGATGAAACAAAGCAAACTGTGTGTTCGAAATTGCAATCCTTTGATCGGTGAATCGGTGGTTGATGGATGTAAAAACTCAAGACCAAACATGTCATGTTGAGAACTGCGAATACCAATGCACATGTCAACCATCGAACCAAGGATTTACCATTCACACGATCAGCGTCAACTCTTTCACACTTCTGCGTTTGCGAAGTTCCTAACGAACATGGCTTGTGCCCTGCGTTCTGCTCGTGGTAGGTCACGACCCCAACAAACGAAGCAAGACGTCCTCCGTCACTGATCTCTGACCATTGATCATCATCTTTCCAGCTCTCATCCCAGCCTTCATCATAGTCTGACCAATAGTCCGACGATTCAGAGAACTCTGCTGCTCGTTGTCCTTTCTTACTCTTGGATTTTCCTTTTCCTTTCCCCTTACTATCCTTGCCCTTGGTCTCTTTACCTTTGCTGCTCTTGCTGTTAGTTTTACCTTTCTCTGGGCTCTTACCCGAACCTTTCTTGTCCTTGTACTGGTAGTACTGATCGTATTTGTGTGGGCAATCTCGTGCAAAATGCTTGGTGCTACCACACTTGAAACAACCCTGGGTATCCTTGTGCGGGCTATCCTGTTGTTTGTCTTCACCTTTACCTTTTCCCTGGTTCTTTTCGTCCTCACTCCCTTTTCCACCTTTGCCCTTTCCTTTGTCTTTCCATTGTGCAATTGGCTTATGATTCAACTCTGACCAGGCTCTCTGCTGTGACTCGTACCTGAGTGCTGCCTCGGTGTAGGCTTGGAATGACTCTTGCACGACATTGAGAACAAGCCATTGTCGACAAGCATCAGGCAAAGAACGAAGAAGAATCAAAATCTGATCGGGCTCCATGATGTCCAGCTGTGCATTGTTCACGCTAGGATCAACCAATTGCTGAATCCGGGCAAACTTGAAAAGTTCATGTTGGATCTGTCGAACGGTCTCAGGGATGGTGGCACACTTGAAAACCCCACTGGTGATTCGGTTCCTAAAGAACAAAAGCTCTGTTCGGGTCTTGATGCCAAACTCTCGTGACAGCAAACGAACACCTTCAAATCCACAACAGTTCACACGGTTTTGTGATGACTCATAATTTCCCAAAATCAAATTTGCTCTAGCATGTCCTGAAAAGCACTGTTTCAAGATCGAAAGCAAACGAGTGGATCTGGTAATCTGAGCTGCGGTCATCTGATTCCATGTAATGACTGTTGGGCTACGAAGTGACCAAAGAATTTCTCTCGGCCATTCATTGTCTCCTAATCCGGCCCAAGATGCAAGGTCTTGTATGTAGCTAATGAACCCTTCTACTTCCTCCGGTCGGGTGGTCCACTTGTCATGTGGTGGAACTGGATAAGCAGGCATCCATTTCTCAGAACGTCGAAACGGATTTCGATCCTCGTTTCCACGAAAAACCTCAACGGCGCCTGCATTGCTTTTGGTGATTGCTGGAACCCTGGTGGAGGAATATGAGGGTTGCTCGAACTTGCATTAGCAAAAGGATTCCTTTCGGGAGAAGAAGCCCTCTGGGCATTCTGCCATGGATCATTCTGTTGCAAAGGATCAAACGAAGCAAATGTTCCGCTTTCCGGCATTGGGGCGAACATTGCTGGTCCAGGCATATCTAAACCACTAGGTGTTGGAACCATTGGTGCTGGAGGTGACTGCACCGGCCCATAGCTAGGACTACCTTGTGATGGCAATTCATTTACCTTCAATTTGTTAGTCAAAGCTTCTACGGCAGGTACCAACGAACCATAGGCTTCGCTACCATGAAGAGCAACAAATCTCGCTCGCGCTCTTTTTCCACTTGAGCCTTGAGCCAAAGTAACGAAGTGCATACCCGATTGACCTGGTTTCTGGTGTCGGGTCTTCGGTTGATGGACTTGTGGATCTGTGATATACATTGGATGATCCGTCCATTCCCAAGCTGATTGAAATTGATCAGCTCTACTAAAAACCATTGAAAGCACTGCCAAAAATAGCCTAAATGCTACAGCTTGGCTTCCAAATCTCTGGGCCTTTACATATGGGATTCCATAGAGTCGAACTCTGATGGAGTACTTATCAACGTACTGATTTCATGCAACACTGTTCAGCATACATAGAAAGCGTACATCATCCAGCACGGATGGAGCTTCACACTCTAGGTTTTGACCCACAGCCATATGTTTCTATCCAATTCACTTGGATGCCATCCAGACGCAGTCATCGTCCAAACCCTGGACACTGAAGACGTTGCTCTCGATGGGTTGGTGGATGGGTGGATGACTCGAGAGGAGAGGACAGAACCTGGCTTGGACTCGCATTGGACAGAGTCCTTGATCCGATGAAGGGACAAATCATTAAGCAATTCGCATTTTGCGTGATTCGGTATACGGAGAGTCAACCATTTTGACGAAGAGATGTGGGCAGAATGCACACTTTTTATAGCGTATGCATCTGTGCCACACAGGTTTATCTCAGGATACTTGTTGTGTTCAGATGGAGTTACTTGGCATTCTTTGCACTTCAGATGAGACACGGACATTTTGCTTTGCTTCTACCAGGACCTTCCCAGTGACCTCGTCAGGATTGGAAGGTGACCTTTTCAAGGCCGTTTCGTGACCTCATTCTCGGATCTCAAGTTCGGTCACTGGGAAGTTCTTCACGTTCCAAGTCTGCTTCTTCACCTCTCCAGGGCTGTCGCAAGGTGTTGGGTGCGAATCCGTCTCCAGGCCTGACACCTCTTTTTGTGGCAGGGGTTGGACTCGACAACGTCGAGGTCCTGGAGGACCCGAGGGGACAACCCGATGATGACCCAAACAGATGGTGGAGTCCAAAGAGAAGGTGTTTTGTTATGGTCTTTTCCTCTCACAAACAATAAAAACAATAAAAACACAATAAACATAATTATGAATGAGTTGTTGTTTTTAGATATCTCTGAGGCATTGGATGTGCTGTGAACTTCGGCTTTCTCTGAGCGCCAACGCACCCGAGAAGGGAAATATCATCCCATGGGAAAGAGTTTCCTACGGTTGAAGGCTTTTGTTCGGTCTCAGCAGTGAATTGTGTATTGTTGTGAAACAAAGATGTGTGTATTTCAGTGTCTCATGAGTTTGTTAAGTCTATGAGTCTATGAGTGTCTCATCAGTGCGATTTTTTACGGCTGGAATGGGATGACATTGTGGTAGAGCTGCATGACACTATGGTCCATGATGGCATCCATACTCCTGACCTGCTCAAGAGCCACCAAGCAAATGCAACTAAGATTGGTTGGATGCCAGATTGGTGTGGTGTTCAGCTGTTTTGTTTACCAAATGCTATTTCTACCACCCTCATTGTAGGTGGCATGTGCTGATGAGAGGCCTGGACAGCAGTAGGACAGCAGCAGTGCTTCGGTTCATTGCAGCTTTGTCCATTGATATCGGCGTGGCAATGTCTGCCGATCGATTGTTTACGGATATGCTAATATGCAACAGCGATCTTGGCTGGCGCGTCCAGATGGACTGAAAGATATTTGCCAGGAGGTTATGGTATGTGTGAAGCGAGTGCTTTCTTTTGATGAATCTGTGGAATCTAGGTCTATCGTTCATGTTCTTTTTGGTTTAATGGAGCCTTTCTTTTGCTACAACAAACTCCATGATGGTTTTGACAACCAATCAAATTCCTCAATGAGCATCAATGAATCAATGACCATTTTTGCCTAAGAGAGGCGCTGAAGAAAGGGAGTTATTTCCACCATTCTGGACTAGGGAGTTGAAATATACTCACAGTCTATGATTATTTTATTACATGGAGTCTCAAATCATTTTGGAACCAGGGTACAATACCTGTGTATTTAATTAGGTCATGTTTCATGGTCGGGCGTGCTTTGCTTCACTAGCACAAAATGCTTCCTTCAAGTTTGCTTTCGCTAGGTTCCTCAAAACCCGATCATCATCTATACATGTTCATTCAAATTTGGCTCTTGTTGGAGACCCTGGTCCATGTTCAGGGCACTTTGAAAGGGCACTTTGAAAGCATGCAACCCCAAAAAGGACGCAGCTGTATATCCATGGGTCCTCAAACCCAGCTCTACTCGTATCTCATATCAAACCCTCCAACGGACCATCCGGGAATTCCCGGCTGCGTCGCAGGTGTGGTGTGCTGCCTGGACGACCGACCCTGCTTTCCCGGACACGGCTGGGAGTGTCGACGGGACCGGTGGAGGAAGGGTCCGGGGTCTCAAAGGTCTCTTCTCAAAGGTCTGTTCTCAAAGGTCTCTTGTCAGTATGTTCTCAAAGTGGATGAACATGCTTTCCGATGAACATGCTTTCCTAGACACGACCGCCATCTGGGACTGCAAGACTGCCACCCCAGACAGACCCCCTGGGAAACCACCCTAATGTAGACATATATATGACAGTCCCATGGAGTGTTTGGGTTTGGGAACCATTTTTGTCTCAAGATCTTTTCTGATGCAAAGTGGATCAAGATCCATCAAAGAACCACTCCGGTGGATCTTTTTCAAGTCTCTTTTTTGAGAACATGCTTTGAGAACTTGAAACTGCCCAACTTTGGGTTCCATTTCGTTCCTCTCTTTTCATGAAACAGGTTGAGACATGTTGGAGCACCTGAAAAAGCCGAACATCGGAATTTGTGGGCATGATGCAGATGCAAATGCTCGGCACAAGAGCATGATAGTTTGAAGGCGCCTTACTTACGCCGTTTGTGGAACTTTTAAGTTGTTGAAGCTTATGTTATAACCTCGGTGTTGACAGGCAAAAACAACTCATTATAAGAATAATAGCAAGACTAAGTGTTGTAGGTGAACTTATTGTTTCTTACAAGTATTTATAGGTTCTCTTTTTCTTGTGAATTAGTAAGTTGTATAAGTTATATACTAGTTGTTCAATAATTTAACCTTAGAAAACATACAGCAAACTTGGAAAAGTTAACTTCTTCACGTTTTGAAACTTTTAAGTATAGACTTTTGTCGAAGCACAACTGTCTTCGACTGTCTTCGTCGTTTTCACACGAAGAACAATAAGAGAGCTTTCACTTTCTTGTTTGAATCTAAAACAGAGATGCAGGAAACACGTAGTGTTGGAGATGGCGGCGCGCTGAGCCACTAGATTGAAGGTATAACTTTTGTGTTAGTCAGTCAGCCTGCATTAATACTAATGAATGGTTTGTTGAAGCACATTCCATATACTATAGGTTGAAACATGTGGTTGATGGGTTTGTATTTCAGCAGATGCCATGGGCCATGGCTGGCGTGTCGGTTCACGTGCTTTGTGTCTAAACTGCCCAAACTCATAAGCCTCAATACAAATGCACATGATATACAGTAGAAACATGTGAATGAAAAACTGAAACAATGGGCTAAGCCTAGTCACATGAGATTCAAGGTAAAGGCGGCTTAAGTCTGAGGCCGCACCAACAGCGTACAAGTCCTTTGTCCCAGTGCGGCGGCCGCATCCGCATCCGGCCGGTTCATCACATGCGACAACACACGAGAAGAAACCATGTAGCAACATAGCAACATGTATCAAAACGTAAAGGAATGTATAGCTTGAAACATGTCCGAGTTATACATGTCATAACTCTAGATTGTGTTTTAGATATATCGTGCTACATTGAGCTACATTTCATACTATCACAAAGTATTCCTTTTCTTTCACCTGAGCTCCAGCTGTGTTCAAAAACACGCCCACTACTTGTTCTTTTTTCCGTTTTTGTTCTTCTTGGGCTGTTTGTTGCACATCCATTGAATTGAAGGAAATACGACCAAGACAAAACCAGTAAAAATATTGAATACATAGACTACATGAACTGAACAAAGTGAGATGGGCGGCTCCATGAGCCTCCCTCTTATTTAACAGAGCACTTTGGAACAAGCCGTTGGCTGTTTTTGTATCCACAGAAGAGTTTGGCGGCTTCATGAGTAGCCCCCTTATATGACAGAACACTTGAAAGAAACATTATATTGTTTGCAGTCTGTGTTTACAAGACTTTGGCAGCTCCATGAGCCGCCCACGTGTATAGGAGTGCGCTTTTTGCTAAAGACACCAGCTGCGCTGACACACAAATACATCCCAAAAACATGTAATTAAACCAAAAACAACAAAAAATAAGGTAAATTGAACACCTACACACAAAACTAGCAAACTGAACAACCACCTTCAAACAACTAACGCTTTCCAAGCTAATTTGTGTTTTAAAGACTTATTATATAGGCTTCTCACAAAATAACGCATACAATTTAGCGTTACATTTCAATTTCTCAGATTGAAAGTTTCTCAGGGAACTTACAAGCTTTCTATTTTGTGTAATTGCTGTATAGCTTATATATAAGTTCCATATCCCAAAACCATCCACCAAGTACCCGCACGAACCTCCACTTCAAGTACACATTCAGATGCGGGACGAACCCTCGGAAAGAATAGCGCAGTTCTGAATTTCAATTTCCACTGTGAATTCTATCCAAAACTGACAAAATATAGAAAATGTTGGAACATAAAAATACGTGGAAGAACACACTACAAAGGTTGATGCATTTCGCACCACTGTCTTAAGTAAACCTCTCTGGATCTATAAACCACCACCTAACTTGGTACTTCCTGGTGCCATCCACTCAATCCGTACTTCCTGGTGAGCCACAGGCGACGGCCGTCACAGCGATCAAAGGGCAGAGTGCCAATTGTATGGACAACAAAGGCCTCGGACGCGCGCGGACCGAGAGTGGCAGCGGGTGGGGTGCAGCAAGGGCAGAGCGAGGGCGGAGCGAGGGCGGATGGAGGTTGCGAGGCGAGGTGGGATCGAGGAGTGGCTCGAGGATGAACGGTTTGTAGGTTGCTGCACTCATGAGTTGCGAAGCTCATCTACGACATGTCAACAACTTGCATGGGAATGTATAATGAGATGTTGATTTTTGTGGCGGTCATTGATGGATCCATTTTGGGTTTCGTTTCGGAAGATGTCCTCCGGAGGATCTGCTCCGGAAGGTTGACTGAACAGAAGGCTGCATTCCCTGAAATTGGAAAGTGGAACAGGTCAGACTCTACCTTTTTTCTACAAATAGGTGGTGGAGCCATCCGCGGTTTTCCACTTCCATGTGAGGCAACTAATTATTCCATGCATGGGTTTGTTTTGGATTCGATAATCCCTAGTTCCTATTAATAAACGTAAATCCCTAGTTTGGGTTTTTATTAATAGGGGGGGGGGAGGCCCCGTTTATTATTAGGGAGAGGGGATTATTCCAACACATGTGTCCATCATTCGGAAAACCCGTCGGTGACCGGTCAACTTCCGCAAAATGCATCCTCCAGTGGCGACCGCGCCACCATGGACCCTCCGCGTTCGACCCGAATCCGGAGGGGGTCCGGACCCGAACAGTTCCGGACCCGAATCCCTATAGGGATCCAAGTACCTCAAAAGGTACGACTGGACCCGACCATCGCACCCACCCCAGTCCCACCTTCTCAGGTTCGGTACGACTGATGGTTCCGGAGGGACCGGGAGGCGTCCACGTCTCCGCGGACCCGGTCGCGGTCCAGTTGACGAAGCGCTGACCAGGTCGACAGTGCGGCACTTTTTGGATCTATGATGCTCGGACGTTTGGGAGGATGGAACAGGTCGAAGTCGGAGCACTTAAGATGCTTAAGGCGTAAACGGTCTGTTAAGGTGGAACAACTCACTGCGAGCGAATCGGAGCCTCAGAGCCGACACAGCAAGCCAACGAAGAGCACAGACGGCCACTTCGATCTCGTTGGGGTTCAGCCCTGCACCTAAGCCGTGGAGATGTTCGCACTTGGTTGCTGTGACCCCGCTTGTGGTGGGCAAGTCCTATTTGTTGGGCGATAGGCGAAAAGCGCCACAGCAAAAGCGGAGTCCGTGTAGTTGGGAAGTGTATGAATTAATAGGCTGGGAGAGTTTGGGGACCATAGCAATGTTGGATTCTACTGATTCCACATGTCTCAGTGACCTACAACTGGTATATACCCAACGTACATGATGTAGCCAGGCATTCATTAAACGTCCTTTTCGCACAAAACAAACAACGCGGCTTCCACACTGTGCGGACCTTCGCTCGCTTCACGGTGGCGAGGATTTGGATGATTTGGAGGACACCACGGCTGATGGGCTATCGACTTTGACCGAGTACAACAGCAATGACAACTGGCGCTTCAATCAGGACGGCGGAAGAGTGGATTTGCTTTGAGAAGTTGATGGGGGAGGAGAGGACGCTTCGTGCGGTTGCCCTGGGGGGTTCGTGCGAATGAGGATGCGCCAGCCATGCGGGGAAGGGGGACCTTAACCCCCAACAAACCCCAAGCAGGAAGTGGACTGTGGACCACACCCTGCTTGCGTAGAGGATCCTGGTCTTTCAGGAGGTCATTGGTGGAAACCTGTTTTCTTCGGCATCGGAAAGGTCCATGTCAGACCCCAGACTATCCATGGGACTCAAAAATGTTTCACAATATCAAATCATTTGCCCAATTTATGACCCAGCCATTTCAGAAACTGTTCCAGTCCGAGATGTGGTGTCCGTCTTGCCCCTTGTGGCCACAGACCGTCAGGGCCTTGGTTGATGAATGCACCCCGGTCCTGAACCAACGAGAGAACTGGGGAATTCCCAGTATCGACCCCTCAAATCCCCAAAAAGGACATCCGTGGATCATGGGTAGATGCTAGGCAGGCGCCAGCTACTTGTAGACCATGTTATATACTCATGCAAAGCTGCGCGCAGTGACCGCAACCAAGCTGGGGATACCCTGAAACAATCGTGGAAGTGTATGGCACTGTTAGTAAGTGGAGGAACACAGTCTTCCTTTCCGGGCCATGTCCACTTCCATGTTGGTTGGGAGGGTCCACTGTTGCATTCAATATTCTAACTTGTGCCGATGCCAAACGAACATGGGCCCGAAACCATGGTATGAGAATGGCTGCGTCCCGTGACCAGTACCACTGTGTAAACATTGGTAACATGTTTACTGCTTTTGAGATGGAAAGGCCTGCAACTTAAACATCATCCACCCCAGACACCTGGAGGGATATCCCCAGACATGGAGTATTTTGACCTTCAAAACATCTTAACATCTGCCCAGTGTAGGCAATCCTTCCATACATGGGTTCTCTTTTACGGCTCTGGATCCACCGTGTCTTACTCCTGCCCTACCGAACCGTGGCGCATTTCGCAAGGACTTTGATATCATCGTGAGCGGGCTCCTGGAGCAAACGGACTATCCGTACATCTACTGCTACGCCGAAGATGTCAGGGACTTAGAGTCGAGGGTCTCAGGGTCGCCCAAACCCCGACGAGGGGGGTAGCCCGGTAGCCAGAAAAACTCGTCTCGCCGAATCAATCAAGACCTGCATCATGATGCACTATGCTGAGATATATGCTGGGGTCAGAATATGTACTGCATTGCACAATGGTCTAGACATTTAAGTTTGCAACGGATGACTTGAGAGGGCAATCCACATGAAAGGCAAAGGCAAATTATGGTACGGCTTCAATAGCGATCCTCGGGAAGGTGAGAATGACTGTGCCATATGTGTTTGTTGTTATGTTTTCCCATGGCACATGAGGATTTCTCTCTAGATCGGTAAGATCGGTAGATGCCCTGAAACACTTGCAAGATACTGGCAAGAGCTGCAAAAAAGTCGTGTGCTTGGTGAAAAAACATCAGGTAGAAGGTAGACTCCATGAATGATTCACCAAACTCTTGAAACTTGCTTCACTTGTTTAACCATGAAGCCAACGTGAAACAAGGGGTTACCCATCTCCGTTGAGCGAACCGAGGATGAGACCGATGGCATTGGCAGTGCACCCAACACCATGATCTTCGATAGCGCAGCGGCTGGGCGTGGTTCAAGGATGTTGCGGTGTGGCTATACCAGGCTCCTCAAAGAAGGAGGGTACCTCATTCCCTAATTGACGTCTCCAAGACCTCTTAACACATGAGAACGACCTGGCTTTGTAGTGTTGACCTGGTTTCGTAGTGTCAAATCCTTAAGAACAACCACGGTTCTTCGAGCTTCAGCCGATTAAATCAATGGTGGGCCAGGAATCTTAGATAGGGTCATTGACATGGTAGCTCCATGTAGCTCCCAAACCAACATGGAGACACCCATTGTTTCCCAGAACCTCCGATTTTTGAGGAACCTCAGGCACCTCCACATGGGATCAATGTAGAATGAGACCTCAGAGACTCTGAACACACAGCCTGACTGCTTCAGTGGTACCATTTCCAGACACTGCTTCCGCCATGGATGGGACGAAACCATGAAACCATACCTTGGACCTTGGGGTGGGATGGGTGTCCTAGCTGGACTACCCAGCCCGCCTGTCTAGATCGACACCCCGAGTCCGCCTGGTCCAGGATGGTCCCGTTGAAGCCGGACTGTAGTCGACATGGTCGATGTAGGATGTGTAAAAAAAGAAGTGAAATGGGCAAGATTCATGTGTGCAGCACATGTAAGCACAATCCCTCAGGCAATGCGAACATGAAAAGACGTTTGGTAGCAAAGAAGACAGTTTCTTTTCTGCGCATGATCATGTTACCTGCCTTTTGACATACACCCGGGAAGATTAACATGGAACCTGAAGATGGACCTTTGCAAGACTATTTTCCTCTACAACCCAGTGGTTATCAGCTTCCATGTTAGTTTTCTGGAGTGTATATTATAGATCTTCTGAATAAGAACAAGTGAACTCCACTTCACTCCACTCTAGCCATCAGAAGCCTCCCTTTTCCTTCCACCCATTTCACCCTCCCTCCTACACTGCCTGAAACGGAATCGGAACATGGCCCCTTGGATGCCCTTTGTTTGAACACCAAACAGCCTATCCTACACTACTCCCTCACCATATGACGCAGTCACAGTCCTTCAATCAACTGCTATCATCCATTGGCGCCCTTCCAACTTGCGTCCGGGGTCTTCTCCCTAGAAGACTTCTTGGTCCGTAGGAGTCCGGCTCGGAGTCTTCAAACGAGTCCACGTCGGGTGCTCGGGCTCGGGGTGGGTAGGTCCAGCTCGGGTGCCGGTCGGTCAGGCCCTCTCCGGCGCGGACAACGTCTACACCATCTGGCAGGGCACGGGCACGGTGCAGACGCTGGATGAATCGCCGCCCGAGTTCACGACGCTCATGGTGAAGGACCGTTTGGTGCTGGTGTGTCCTGAGGATGAGGTAGATAAGGTGATATTACAGTAGCTAGAACCTGAGTGACCTCTATATATTCCTTTTTTAAGGCGGCAGGGTTCATGGCTTGGATGAGGGGGTTTGTTGGCTGAAGTGCTTTGGATGACAAATTATGTGAAGATGTGAAGGTGGCTGGAACCCTTTCTCAAGGATCAGCAGTACCTTGTAAGTGTCAAACAAGGAGAAAGCCTGCAATCCACCTGCACCATCATTTGCATGCAGGATCCCAGCGACCAGAACGACCGATTGGCGCCTGGGATGGAAGCAGTCTATTGGGCTTGCTGCTTGCTGTTTTGAGCTAGAAATCTGTGTAGAACTCAGACAGGAACCCTGTTCTGATAGGAAGAGACCGCGCTTTCTTTGGACTTCACCAAGCTCGGGCTTACTTCTGGGTTGTACCCTGAGACTCCGCGCCCTTCGAAAGGAGTTGGTTTCGAGTCCAGACCTTGGAAGGTCGCTGTCGGGTGCCTGCTGAGGCTCCAAGGACTCTTTTTGATCGATGCCCCGATGCATGTATGGAGCAGTATGTTGCCATTGACCCCCTGTGAAAAGAAAAGCAACACCTCTCCCTCGCCGACACCTCTTACTTGGACAGAGGATCCGTACAAGAAGAGGGTTTTTGGGAGGAGTTGTTGTTGTACTGTTGTTGTTGTTGTTGTTGCTGTTGCTGGTGTTGTTGCTGTTGCTGTTGCTGTTGCTGTTGCTGTTGCTGTTGCTGTTGCTGTTGCTGTTGCTGTTGCTGTTGCTGTTGCTGTTGCTGTTG